TGAGTTGTATCTAAAAGCAAAAGGATATAAATCTCCAAGCTTTATTTCCCAAAAATGCTTTTATCATTATCATTATTTGTTATCAATGATGTTAAGTTAAACTAGAATATCAAAATTAAAAAAACAAACAACATTCTTTTCCATCCACACGAGTATAAAAACTACACAATGTACTACTATAGCGATCATGAACATTTTTGACTGAAAATGATGCTACATTGGAATAGTTTCTTAGTAACTATTAAAACAATTTTCGATTCTGAGTTATAGAAATTGAAAAAATCGAGTATCGGTTCTATTTTACTGTAAGCAAAGGATTCTATTCTTCGCCTACATCCAAATGGTCATCCTTGTAACAGGAGAACGAAAGAAAGAAAGAGTTGTAAAGAACTTTGTTAGTCTTCTTAGAGAGACACAAAGATTTTTTTTGTTCTTTCTATTAATAACTATTTTTCTTGGGTTGCTATGAGAATATGCTTTGTTTCCTATTGAAAGATTTCTAATCCTACATTGCAAAAGTATTCGTGAGAAAAGTCCACATCAAAGAACACTGAGGAAATAAATGCATTATCGTTGTTGAAGAAAGAAGAATCGAAAAAAATAGAATCACAATAGAGTGAATATTATTGCTGTCTGTTTTTTTTCCAACATAATAATCTGTTTGAGCAACTAGAGAGACCATGTGTTTGAAATTGATAAGATTTCAAAAGCAAACAAAATCTTTCTGTTTCTTTTTCAAGACATTTTGTTAAAACGAATAATAAATAATGGTTCATTTTAGAGTTTTAAATTCTATTTAGCATCGATTGACTCATAATCTCGTTTATGAACATCAAATTGTTTAAATTAAAATAGTGAACAAGAGTTGAAAATAAGATATCAGAAGTTTTAATCCTGTTTGGTATTGATCTACTCACAATTTCAATACAGATATAGAGAACAAGTTGTAAATGAATTAAAATCAATGGGTATTAATAATATACGCTCTCACCCACTATGGTCGCCGTTTCATTCGAAGATGATATCGATGTATAGAACATAAAATTGTCCATTCATGAAACTTCACTCTGATCCATTTTCTTCAATCAATCTTAAACAAAAGAATCAAACATCATTTTTATGAGTTCACTTTCACTCAGATCCTCACAGATGGGTGTGTATGTAAGTAGATGTGGACTGTAGATGAGTGTGGAGCAGGTTTCGAGTTTCTGTAGGGTCTAGATATGGGTGTAGATGTGAGAGTTGGATGTGGGCTAGGCATGGCAATGAGTGTTTATGTGAGTGTGGATGGAGAGAAGACCTTCATTCACACAGACACATATGCATCCCATTCTCATGTTCAGCTCACGCCCACTCCTATGCTCATACTCACAACCACCACACATACACCGAACATTCACACCTAAATACTATTCCACACGCACATCTACCACGTCCACCCACATCCAGTATCATAGGATATAAGTGTCGGTATGCGTCGGGTGTGTACTGAAAAACAGATGTGTTACCCAATCATTTTGAAACGAAGTCTAAACCCTCGAAAAGGTTTCGCAAAAATCTTTCACATCTTCGAAAAATTTCAATAATATTGTGCAAAAGGCAGAAAGATTGCAAGAAAAAAATTGTTCGTCTTCTTCGTTAAATAGAGATTGTTGTGTTTTGTTTTGTTGCTTGGTAAGTTGTTAGATATGCGAGTGTCTTTTGTTTGCTGGTAAACGAAAGATTATTTTTTATTATTCATTTTTAAGTGGGCTTGTGCAAAAAAAAATGCAAGTCTGCGTCAAAGAACAGCGATAACGAACGAAACGAATGCATCATCATCGTTCGAACGCAGTAGTATCAATGATAACAACCCGCATTCTTTCCATGAATGAGAGATGTGCACAGTCATAATAAGGTGACACAAGAAAAAAAAATTGTTATAATATAATCACGTGTTTTTGAAGGCACAAAATTTTAAATTCAAGAAAACAATGAATGAATGAATGAATGAATGATAGTCGAAGTATATATTGTAAATACTGAGAGATTTTTCATTTTCAATTCTGCTAGTATATAGTCTTCAAAAAAATATTTACATTATCAATAATTACTTTTTGAAAATCTATCAAGAAAAATTGACTAATCTGGAAAATAACCATTTTGTACGGTCACTGTGTGGATGTAAGCAAAGAGAAGTTTCTGTTCTTCGCATCCGTATGTTTACCATCTGAGATTCGCAAAATTTTTCAAAATACAACTTGCCATTGCAATCTCTGATGAAGCTAAAATATAAAATATTTACATTGTCATTCTCTATATTACAGAACTTATAGATTTGAGTCGAGTTTTTTTATCGATCTTCGATCAGTTTCGATTATTTGAAAACTGGTCTTCTGAGAGCTAACAGAATATTCTAGAAGTATTTTTTAGTTTATCTTATATGAAAATTTTCTTCACACTCACCTTCTAATCTTAATGCTCTCACAACAATTCTCTGAATATCATCATGAGTCACAATGAAGAAATGATCTTTGACATGAATCGATTTCAAATTTCACCACTAAAATATAATCAATCTTATTCATTTTATTTCATTCAAGATCATTATTTCCAATATAACAAGAATGATATGATGTGATTTCTATTATTATCTCAATAAACATATATGTATCTCGATGATTTAAACAGATTAGCTTGGATCTGTCAATTAGTAGTTGGTTATGTTCCTCTAATGTATTTGCCAATTAATCTTTATTGTTCTACATAATTCCAAAATTGTCATTTTTGTATTACATTATTGAAAACATTTCTTATTATATTTGCTATTCTTTTTCTTCTTATCTCTGATTTCAACACTATCATCAACAAATAATTCACTGAAGGCAACATGAAAATTAATAATTGTTTTCTTTCTATTCTATCCGAATTATATTGTTTCGAATGTTATTTGAAAGTTTTCTCAACAATCGTTTTTATGATTAAAGACTGTCGAGTAAAATATTACACATTAGAAATTTTTTTTATTGAGTATAAAATAAATAATATTTTTCAAAAAAGTTAGATAGAAGTTTCATTGTTACTCAAATC